GGTAGACATCAAGATCTCTGTTATGAATATATCAATGTCAGAATCTTGACAGTAATTTTTGTATTGTAGTTTTATGAAATATTACTATTGGGAGAAACTGGGAACAGGGTACATAAAATCTCTCTACTATTCCTTACAACTACATTTACAATGATCATAAAATAAAACATTTAATCTTAAAAAGTCAGTGCACTAGAACTATGAGCAATATATTCTATATAATCATCATTGTATTTGAAAGCAACTATTAAAGTATGGGAAATATTCTGGCATTAAATATGTTAGACTTTCTTTAAAAGTAATTCATTAAACCCTTGGGCCATTACGATCTAAAATGGATCTAAACCAATGCTTAGAGTGAAATGAACAACAAAGAACAAATGTGTGTTCTCCAGTGAGCTAATAACCAGATGTGCTAAGAGAACAGAACCTTTCAGCATATTCTCATACACTTTTGCCAAGCATAATTACTTCCCTATCTTACCTACGTAGTACTCACACCCTAGAATTATTTCCTGTCCTTGCAGATGTAGCCCCAAAGCCCCCAGCTAAGCTAAACCTCTGTTAGAAATCTGCTTCATATTATTACATCTGATTGTCATGCCTTAGTCTGCTTACCTTTCTGTTGCTTACCTGTCTGATGTTACAAATTTGTTTTTACTTTTAGATTGTCAAAGAATTCCAAAGAATTGATGTGAATGTGTACTTTGCATCACTTGAAGGTAAGTGCATCTATGTGCCAATCCATAAGACTTTTCCCTAAGTCCTTTCTCTCCTACCTTGGAATATGGGCACATAATATCTGAAGGTCTTTTAAAAAAAAAAACAAAACTCTTTAATATTGTTATAAAGAATGTGTAAGAAAATTTGCCATTTTGTCACTTTTAAGTGTATAGTTAATCCACTAGCATTCGTTATCTTCACAATATTTATAAACATCACTATTTCCAGAATTTTTCATCATCACACACAGAAGCTCTGTACCAATGACACAGTAATTCTGAGAACATTTTTATGTCAAAAATAATACCTTGAATTTTGTCACAGAGCTGGGAATGTATAGAAACTTATGTGTGTAGGAAAGTGATAATGTTTAGACTGAGTTCTCTAGAAGCAGAGCCTGAGACAGGGTTTCTTGCGTTAGTAACTGAAGAAGTGAAGAAATCAGGACAGGGCAGGAGAGGCTGGTCATCAAAGTAGTTTCAGAAGTTTGACATTAGATTCCTGATTGTATAGGGAGCTCCACAGCAGGAAGAACACCAGAGGTTGTGCCATCTTGAGCAAGGGGCCCGCCTTTGTATTCTCATTATTGTTAATCAATGATGCAGATCCCCCTTAGATACAGGTATAGCCTCCAGGCCTCTTCAGGCAAAACAGCTCCTATTGGCCAAGAAAAATTACCCAGAGAAGAGCAGAGCTGTGAACCGTTAGCAGCCAGGCTCACAGCAGCTGGTACACTGATTTGGCAAAAGGTACATGGACTAAGGTCATCTATAAGCAGTTATGGGATAATCATTATGTGTGCTACTGGGGAAAAAAAAATCTCAGTCAGTGTAGAAAAGGGTCACATTCTGGAAATGAGAAAGAAAAAAAGAAAGGAGCTACAAAACCAGTATTGGTGGATGTTATAAAAATACCTTTCCTATCAACTACTAACCATTATCTCTTTCTTGTGTAGATCATGTGATAGAGAAGATGGAGCAATGTGGCTTCTTTGATGATAATATTAGAAAGGACACATTCTTTCTGACTGTTCATGATGCTATAATCTATATACAGAACCAGGTTAAATCCCAAGATGGACAAGATTCCATTTTAGAAACGGTAAGTATTTAATCTTTCTGCATCTGTATCTTTCCTAAACTATCAGGTTTTCTATAAACTGCAAAA